CGAGAACATCACGACCGTGAAGTGCCGGTGCGGCGGCCACAATTTGTGTCCGGCACTCGGAGACTACCGCTGCACGGGAATCCAGCACCCTTTCCCGGTCATGTACAAGAACGGGACGACGGCTGTGCTACACGTGACTGTGACCTGTGCCTGTGTGCGCAACCAGTCAGCACCAGCGGAGAGGAAACCACTGACACGAACGTCTTGACGACGGAGAATTAGCCGTGTCCGGTTGCGACGGACCAATCCTACTTTGTGCACTCTTAGGGGACTCAGCCTGGCCGCAAAAGTACAAAACTTCGAGATCTCACAGGAATGAGGTTTGCTAGGCGTTTCACTTTCGCGCGCCGGACGTTTTTTGACCGCGTCCGACCGCCAGTGTACGCATCGGACGTTAGAGCTACGATACCTGATGACACTTCTTAAATGAACCATCTAGTCATATATTGCAATTACTGCCAGTCATCATCAAAATCAAAACTGTTATTCCATCGAAGAAGTTTCATGTCATGTCGTTATTTATTCGTGTTCATGTCCGCTGACGAGCACGGCTTCTGCTGTATCGTAAAAGTACCTGTTTAGACATCCTTACGGATGTTTAGTCGCTGTTCGAGTGATGTAATAAAAATAATAGCTAGTTGTTCTCAAATGTGCTTGCCCTTGTTAGTCTTCTTCAGGCGAAAGCTGTGACGTCTCGTCGCCTTCCATTGCGACTCTGGCAAAAATACTACAAAACCGAAACTATGTTGCCTGGAGCGCGTCTCCAACCGGTATGTTTAGCGCCCTATGCTGCCCAGGGCTTAAACTCTGGGAGGTCTCAGGGTGTCTCGGACCCGCCATTGATATTAACGGATGGTCTGAGACCCTCCCCCACAGCCTCAGCATTAGTGAAATCAAAATCATATCTTGCAATAAAATAGCTTGCTTTTTATGTTGTGACATTTGGGCAGTAGCAATTTGAGGGTTGCAGGTACAGCGTGGGCAGAGTCAGCAGTGGGGCTTATTTTATGTGCATCTAGTATATTCGACAGAATCCACCCCCCTCCCCCCACCTTCTTGTAAGGATTCCCCCCCACCCCCCAACTTACGGGATGCTGCTCATGCATCAAAAGTAGTCCCGAAGCGGCAACAAATGACGTCACAGAAGCCGGAGTGTCATGCTGCTCATGTCGCGATCCTAACAATTAATCGTAAAAATGCTAAACAAAGAAGAAAAAAAAAAGTGAACGCGAGTGTTGTCGTCACTATGGTGCCTCGATCGCGTCTTTGACTGGTGTGTTTAACGCCCTATCCCGCCCATACATCAAAAGTGGTCCCAATCTGGCAACAAATGACGCGAATGTCATGCTGTTGCCTGTCGCGATCCTGGCGGTTGGCCGTAGAAATGCTGGCAAAAAGAACGAGCGAACGCGAGTGTCGCTGTCGTCACGTCGTCAGTGGGGTGAAGCTCTCGGCTACTTCCGTCCCGCCGCGTATACTTATGACGTTTATCCGGTCCGGCGAACTGCTTCTGATTGCCGCGCTCCCAGCGGCTGTTGGCACTTGTTATTTTATTTTAAATAAAATTGATTCATATATTTAATGATGCGAAATAAAAGTGAAGTTGTTTTGAAGGTGTGAATGGCTTTGAAGCTTGTTATCGTAACTTTCTCTTTCACTCTTTCAACGTGTCTGGGCGCGCTTTCTCTCTCTCCGAACCCGCGACTCGCGCCTCGAGATGCGCTGGCCGCTGGCGCCGGGAAGTCGGTGGACCGTTAGAACGCGCGAGGGACGCGAGCCGGCGAGTTGTTTCGCTTCTGGGAGTGCGTTGCGGCGCGAGATTCGTCCCGCGTTCGTGCGCGCGCGGCCGCGCGGCTATCTTTTCTTTTTCGTGGGAACTTGTTGGTGTAATGTGATCAAGCATGGATTTTCGTCATCAACACACCACCTGATGTGCCAAGTGGGGAAACAATGACTGCCGAAAGCCGGAATATCAATGGTTTCGAGTTCGAATGGACGTGCGGTACGCTCTTTTGGTCTTCTCTTGCTTAAGTTTCTGATTAGATGTTTGCAACAAAACCTAACTGTCGCAGTGGTAGTGAGTATTAATTGTTTGATTTTGGCAATAGCTACAATGGTTTCCAATCACAAAACCAAATCCCATCATTGTTCAGGATTGCTCTTCACTCGCCGCGAGAAATATGTCATTGTCAAATTACTGGAGACTTCTGTGTAGACTTTGTCATATCAAGATCGAGCACATATGCTCGCTTTAAAAGATGGGAAACTTTTTGCTGTGAGCTGTTTATTTGGCACTGTTGTCAGCGATTCACACGTCTGTTCGCGAGGAGTGAAAATATGAGCCTAAATATTTTTCGATTAACTGAGGATGAGCGATAGAGCGATCCGCTCTGGTTTCCCGTTTCGTTTAGCAGTGACTCACTCCTAAATTTAAGTGATAATATTAAAAAAGAATGGGCAGGTTCTCGATGAAGGCTCAATACCAAAGAGCTGAGCTGTTTTTCTTGGTACTCATTGCTTAGTTTCCTTTAGTTGCAATTCAGACACCGTCGTCGGTCTTTACTTATATGCTTACTTCTGTAATCAAATTTGCGAGGACGTATATCATCACCTTCGTCGCACGTAACCTTAACGTTTTATCCTGTTTTGTTGTTCATTTCTTTGTTTCTCGTGTGCAAAACAGTGAGAAATTTCGTCTGTATTTTCTACTGTCTGTTGAATAAAAATGAGCGCAAAAGGACAAGCATTGCATATTTTTTGTGTATATGTCACTTTCGTTGCTTTGCAAGGTTTCTGCTGCTTTGCTGCTGGTCTCGCTTTTCAGTGCTGGCTTGTGTGCGTTTCAACGCACATTAACCAGCATTGAAATGCGAAAACCAGCCGCACAGCAGCAGAAGCCTAGCAAAGCAACGCGAAAACCGGGCAAGCAAAAAAAAAAAAAAGCTACAATATATATATTTTTAACTCTAGGTGGCGCAAGCTACCACCCATCCATCCAAACACAATGGCGCTGCCGTGCAGTTTCGGTTTTGGTTTCGCTGTGCCGCCATGTTGATTTTAGTACAGCCACCAGATACCAGGGGATTCAAATGGCGCTGCGGCCTCCCAGGGTTTTCCAATTTGCGTTCCATGGGCGGTATAGGAAGTTGCACTCCTCTGACGTCGTCGCTTTAGGCGTCCCAACTTCCGGCTGCCCTAACTTCCGTGAACTGTCACAATGGAAAGCGACCTGCAGCAGAACAGTCGTCTGCCAGCTTTACCAGAACTGTTGGGACGCCGCCAGGGTCGGGACCGGTGACAACATGACACTTTTATGACGTCATCAGGCGGAAATCGAGGGACCACTTTTTTTGCCGCGGTAAACACACCAGTCGGAGACGCGTTCCAGGCACCATATCGTCACGGCGTGTCCCAACTTCTGACTGCGAAAGCGTCCGTGACCCGGAGCACAACAGGCGTCTGCCACACAAACTACCGCTGCTGGACCACCACCAGGATTGCGGCCGGCGACAAGATGACATTTCTAGAATGTCATCAGGCGGAAATTGAGGAACCACTTTTTTGACGGACGCGATAAAACTAAGTGAAACACCACTCGGGGATGCGTTGCAGGCACCATAGAGTTATTATAATGTACGCTAGAGGTTCAACTGGCGCTAGTGTCTATGCGACTTCCGGGAGGCAAATTGAAGCAGACAGCAACCAGTCTACTTTTGCGGTGCTCCTGTGCATTCCTATGGGAAAACGCGCGTGAAATTTGTCTCTTCGCCGGGAAATAACATAAATAACTTTTATTATTTCGGTTGTACCGGATAGTGTGTACATTTATTAACATTGTAAAAGTGTAATTGCTTTAATTACAGCATTTTTCTTTACCACTGAACGATGTTAAGCTTCGCTATATTTCAGGCCCAAACCTATGTTTCATGGCAGGTATGTAAAAACGAGCGACGATTCTAAGCAAACTAACGATCGAAAAGAATGTAGAGTGTGTTCAAGGTTCGCTAGCATTGCAGTGGCGCTTATATATTGCTAATATGCCCGTCCTGTCACTCTATGACAATGACTCCTTCGTGCTTCTTTACGACGGTTAAAAAACATTTGAATATAAGAAATAAAGTACGTGGACTACGAAAGGTGTGCCTTTTTATTATTTCCTATGCCGGGCAGTTTTTATCGGGCACCTATTCTCTGACTTCTCCCTATTTGCAAAGATTTGGAGCGTGCGCAGGCGTGCGGTTGATGATTGGAACCCAGAACATGCACATATTCATGAGCAGAAAGAATAAAGCAGTACTTATTTATTGCAAAATTTATTTTGATCACCTGCATGCACAAGGAGTTACTTATCCAGTGTTACTGCATAGTTCTTGCCGCCTCTCTTGCTTTTCCACGTGTCTTTCGTTCGTTTGAAACGTATATCCCCCATGGTGGAAAGCGCCGGCCCCGTGTTCGCGCTAACAGTGTCCGACAGTGCACACAAATACATGTACGAAGCGGTTTTAGCACCGTTTTTCATGCCACGATTTTAAAATAAAAACGCCGTAACTGACCAATTATTTTATCTGCATGACTGGGAAATGTTCTAATGTGCCTAGTAGGTACGAAGTGTTCGTGATATTTGCTCTTATAATCGAGCGCAGCGAGAAAATGCACTCGCTTTTTCCCATAGAAATGCATTACCGGAAGTCAATTTCGGACTGGTTGCTGTCTGCTTCAATTTGCAGCAGCACACTAGCGCCAGTTGAACCTCTAGCGTACATTATAATAACTCTATGGCAGGCACCACACCGAAACTAAAAATAACAATTGATATCGGTTGCATTTTGCTGCTGAGACATATCAAGCATCTTTTCGTTTTTACAGGCATCTTAAAAAACAAGATAGTTTATAAAAGAAAAACCTTGATTACAATTCTTTTTTCAACTAAAAATTAGGAAAACGTAAATTATTATTACTTTAACAAATCGTAAAAGTACGAAACTAGTATTGTAACCATAGCACTGAATTTGCTTTTTCGGCGTATCGAAAATGGCGGCCATCACAACGAGCGGCGATCCGCAAGCGGAGCAGATCAAGCAGTTCAAAGATTTTCTCGTCTCGTACAACAAACTGTCGGAGCTGTGCTTCTCGGACTGCGTGCACGACTTCACGGTGCGTCACGTGCGAGACAAGGAGGACAAGTGCGCCATGAACTGCATGGAGAAGTACATGAAGATGAACCAGCGCATCTCGCAGCGCTTCCAGGAGTTCCAGATGCAGACCAACGAGGCGGCCATCGCGGCGTCGCAGAAGGGATTCCGCTAGTGCGAGCCAGACTTGGCATCGTCAGCCGGCTTTAAGTTCAAGGAACGAACTATATCCGTCAGAAGATGTGTGTTACGGGCCGTGCAAAGACTGCCCTGCACGAAAGTCGTCACGTTAAGCCATCTGTCTAGCTAGCGACGGCTCTGTAGCTAGCTGGTCTGTAATGCCATCTATGTTCTGTGAAAATCCGAACGGCCGTTGTCCAAATCTTGGAAATTTGGTCCCGTAATTTTGCGTAATTGAGACAACATCGGAGGTCCAGCGCTAGACCTGAAAAGAAATGTGTACATCAAGAGGGAATTAAATGTGGATGCAGACTGGGTAGCTTATACTAAATACGATCGGTTTATTTATTTCTGTGTTTGAATTTGGGGTGCTCACTACGGCCTGCCTAACTCAGCAGCGAACACACGTACAGTCGTGGACAATAAGAGCTAGAACCAAGGAGGATAGAAGGGTAGGAAAGGGCGTGACGCCAGCCGCGTAGCCTCCACAAGCCATGCTCCCTTGACGCCGCGCCTCTTTCTCACTTTCTTCCTTACTCTTCTCACTTATCCAGCCCAACGTGACCACATCACGTGACCATAGCTAGCCTTCGTCTAGCTATGGTGTACTAGAATACACCACAGTGTAGCCTTCGATCTGATAAAACCTACCGGACGGAGCGCGCGCAAGCCTGCAAGGAATCCTTCTACAATCAACCATCCATCTCACACGTGGCATGTCACGCGCACCAATTGCTAGAGAGATCTATGGTCACGTTGGCCACAACATCGTTTAAACTGTTTATGACTAGGCTTCACCAATATTGGAACGTGCCCCCTCCTAGTACTTCTAACCTCCTTGGCTAGAACATATGAAAGTACTTCCCCCCTGCTACATCCTACTTGCAGCGCCGGTGGCCGAGTGGACTAGCGCACACCAGCTCGAAGCACGTGGAGCAAAAGCTCAGGCTGCAGAACCCAGGGATGCTAGGTTCAATCCCCACCCCTGCCTGTTTCGACCTGGATGAGCAACGTACAAACTAGAGGAAGAGGAGGGGAGAAACTTCTTTGTTTGAACTTTGGGGCAAAAGATAAGCCGCAGTGAGCACAAAAGTGATGTTTTGGAAGCTCGCTCTAAGTCACCGTAGTTCAATGCGGCCAAAAGGATCCATAGTCGTTTTCACTTCAAGAACTGTACTAAAGAAAGTCCGGCTTCTTGCAGAGAGGCATTACTAATTTCCACCATTTATATAGAGAATTAAGATATATGTACCGTAAAATACCGAGCAAGCGCCCACACAAAATTTGAAGATAATCACCAAAAAATAGGGGATGGGCGCATGTGAGGTCATCAATTTACTTATATATGTACTGTGCATATTTTTTCAGATGTTTCAAGTTTTAGGGGTGGGCGCTTAGTGTGGAATGGGCGGATGCACGGTATTGTATGGTAGGTGCATTTTAGATCAGATATATGTTATCTTATCAAGACGTACACACTTCAAACACCAAAATCATTGGTTTTTCCCCCAACCACCAAATCTTGTAAGAACTACTTCCTGCGGCGTATAAACAACGTGCAAAACTCCTTTTTTTCTTTAGATGAAAACAAGTATAGCTGTTTCTCTCAAAGGAGTGTTTGCACTTGTTCGTACCACACTCGTGTAACTACACACCGAAAAACTCTCAAACCAGGAATTCGGGAAATGGTGGATTTGCATCGGGTAGCGACCTACGCAGCCCTATTTTTTGTCCTGAAAAAATGGTCGCAGAGACCATAATCTTTCACCTAACCCTGCGTCTCCTGCCCTCGATCACCGGAGCGAACCCGAAGCCTGATTCTTTCCTCCTACGAAGAGCACGTGAGACTGCAGGCAGAGATCTTGGCCGGCAGTTTCTGACTACTCGGACAGTCGCAGAAGCAGCAACAGTGACACCATGGGCTCGTGTCTTGCAGGTACAACCAAACTCTTGTCCACAAGTGTCGGAGATGAGATTCGGGGCACTGGGGCGGCAATGCTGATCAACGAATCCTCGTTCTTCCGAAACTCCTAGAACAAGGGCTTGTGTGAATTTGAACACAATCCCCAAGAAAAGGAAAGACAGATTGGGCTATACTTCCTTTCCCCTTATGACGGACAATAGCAGATGCTATATGCATCCTAGCCAATCTAGCACTGCGAGCATATTGAACGACTCTGTGCGTTGCTGCACCCTTCCAGAAGGTCACACAGCGCTGGCGCGACATTGGATTGGTTCCGATGGCTCTTAGCGTCCACTGCGGTGCATCACAAGGTGGACCGGAATAGTATACGAGTTTTACTCAAAGTTGACATTCACAACTTTGGCTGCTTCTTTTAGTGAAAAACTTCTTTTACCATTCATGGAATGGCTCAAAATACTGCACCACCCTGCGAGATCACTCGACTGCCTTGGACATTGCAAAACTAGGTGGACATCAGTGCCATGAGGCTTGCTTGATTGAAACCTCCATCGTAGCAGAAGTTTCTTTTTTCCTGTTATAGGAAGGGGTTTTTGCTACTGTACTCTCGGACAAGGTAACCGTTTACCATTTTACCTCGAAATTACAGCACTGTTTGTGACACTGTTTCAGTTCTCTGCATAACCCTAGAAGTAAAACAAGGAACATGCTGTGAAACCGTGGTTTTGTAAACTACTTCGGTGGGTCAGAATTGGCATGTGGAAAGAGTGATTCTTGGAATAGGACTGGGGGAGTACGAAATGAATAGCCATATCCTTTTGAAATGTTTTGAACGTAGTGCAATACATCCATGCATTCGATAAACATTTTGCTCAATTATCCAAGCATTATTGAGCATGCTGAGAATGTTGGTGCACATATTCACTCACCTTATCTACATAAAAGATTTGAAGTAAAATACCGAAAGAAGGTGCTGACAACAGCCTGTGCGAAGTGCCATTTGTTTCAAATTTTTGTTTTAAAACAGTTACTGCTGCAGACACCAAAGTCTGCAGTACATGCAATTATACTTTCAGCGTGCTTCTTGGTGCTTGGGTAATTAACCAAAATCTCCATTGAACCTTCTTTAGAAAAAATAGGGAGTTACATGATAAGCTGCCCTGCACCCAAGGTGACATTTAATTGTACTTTCGACGTGCAAAATATTGCAACACAGAATTATTATAAAATTTCCAAATAGTTCTTTTTTTTTTTTCAAATAAAAGGTAAGGTTTAGATTGCGAGGCTCATTCTTGGGCAAGAAAAGTTTGCAATGGAGCATATAGCACGGGGGTGGCCAAGCTGCAGCTCGAGTGCCGCATGCGGCTCTTCCCATGTTACAGTGCGGCTCGTGGCTCCCTCCCCAACCTTCCCCCCCCCCCCATCTCCTCCCCACCGGTCACACGAGCATGTCCCCAAGAAGAGAAATGGAACGCGTTTTAAATCGAAAGGCAGGTTGCGGTTTGGTATTTTTGTGCTACTGCCTTACGTACAGTTGGACTGCTTTTGATTCGGATAGACTGAAAGTAGTTCGAGTTTCGTTTATTGCTATTTACAAAAATTTGCCCTCCCCCTCCCCCCCCCCCCCCACCGCAGTTCTTGGAAGTTTCGTGGCTTTGTTTGCGGCTCTTAGGCCGGGTCAGCCTGACCACCCCTGATACAGCATTTCCCCATATCCAATGCTGAAGCCAGCTGAATCTTGTAAATCCATCTTATGCAAAGTGAATAACACACACTTAATGTAAAAGCAATAAAAGAGAAGGCTAATTAATCCAAGTCAAAACTCGTACAAGTCCTTGCTGCCTAGACTTCAGAAATACAAACCACAACCTCTTACTTTCTCGTTGCATCATGGCAATGTAGTGCTTCCAACACATTTTCAAAATAGTCGCTTCACTATTTTATTTTTTAGACTAAAACAAGAAGTGATAATCGAAACATCTACAAATACAAAGCCACAACCGTTTCAAAATTATGTCGTTAAACTATCTGAGACTGGGGCAGCCTTGTGGCACGATTAAATTCCACCATCTCGTTGGCGCTTAGTCTTTTCGCGTTTTAAAATGCCCGCATACGAACCCGCTGGAGTGAGGGAAAGCCGCTCCCGCTACTTCATCACGGCACGGGCGAGCGCATGGCTTCGCCGCAGGGCTCTCGTGCCATGTGGGGAACCGCAGTCAACGGATCTAATATGCCTCTGCCAGAACATTCTTTTGCAGGCTATGCTTAATAATTCAAACGAATTCAAACTATTCTTTTCTATTCAAGGACATGAATAAATATATCGGCACTTGAATCACTCTTTCAAAATTTCTAATATTCACACATGTCTTTTGCTAAGAATGTTTCTAGTGTGTTCAATCGTTCGACCGGATTAATCGCGACTTGGCAAAGGGTCACAGCTACGGCCCACTTGAGCCAATGAGTGTGACAGAGCGAAGCACGTGAGAACACTTTACGGGAGGAGTGTACTCTGATGGCACGTCGTCACGTGATTCACATACACTCCGATGCTTTGATTGGCTCACTGGTGCCGTAGCCTTTGCTCTGTGTCAAGTTATGTCGAGGCATCAGAAATTCGTCCTGGATATTATTCCTTTGATTGGAGGAACATGTCCAAAGGGAGACCGAGAGTGTATGCTGCCAACTTTAAAGTGCAGAAGTGATACATTCAACAACTTAGGAGAACATTCCCTGTGGGGAACGTTTCGAGAAGAAAAAGAAATCTAACCCTTTACAGGACAGCTTTTTTTTTTTTGTAATCAGTACTAAATTTATTTAAATGGAAAGACACAACGTAGAGTAGCAAGAGTGGAAAAATTAATACATTTTTGTTTCGAGACTGTTTCAATTTCTAACGGTTTCCCTTTTGAAAACAGTCGCTATAGAAAACAAATGAATGTGCTAGAAGTACTGCAAATAGTAGCGACTCGGTGACCATGCCAAATGATCATATCCCCCATGGGTGCCAATGCATATGTAATAAACCAGACAAGTGACTTTGCATCAGTGTTACATATCAGGATGCATATATTTTTAGAGAACATTGCAATAAATAATGCATCCAGGAGTGTTTGTTGGTTCAGGTGACGACCGAGATTGGTGAAACAGAAGCAACTGAGGCCATGCTGCACCAAAGGGCAAATCCAGAGTGAAGTAAAATGAGAATGAAATGAATTTGACTAAATACTGTCACAAGTTCTCATCTATAACAAACAGGCATGAAGGTAATCACAGAATTCCACATTGATGAAGCCACTGTTTCTTTTACTAAAACAGCTTTATTCTAGAAATGTAAATATGCACAGTTTTTGGGTTTTAGTATTGATCAAGTAAGAAAGCAACGCAAACTCATACTTTAGGATACTATAGCATTGCAGTGCAGAGTATTTGACATTGTCATCGAGACCATTAAAATCACTGCTACTTGGGTGCCCTAAATTCAAAGTTCTTTCTTTAGAACACTAATTACATCCACTATTGTAAAGCAAACTATAAAAACTGACTGGGGCAGTTTTTCTTCTTTTCATTTCTTGTTACAGATTTACTTGTATGCTAAGTACACACATACACTCGATCGACCCATGACTACAAAAAGAAAAACCAAGACAAACATTTTTGTAAAAACGTTGAGGCATTTGTCACTTGTTGACCTCTGGTGGAAGTGTCGAGTACAACGTCGGGCAAAACATTTGGCTTTCTTTCATTCTTTCGCCGACGCATGCACAACCAAGTATCTGTGGTAACTTTGCGCAGGAATAAATTTTGTGCGAGCATGATGCCTACTGTGAGATGCAGCAGCAGAATAGGCCAGCAATAGACTCCTTTCAAAAGCCCCATCAAGCAACACTGGCAGTCAACATTTCTTGGGCACGAAGCGTGCGACTGGACTTGAGCCTTCATCCAAACGCTGACGCAACAGTCGTTTTCGATACGAGCTCGGCCGAGCTCACGCCAAACACCAACCCAGCCCTCGTGTCCAATACATGCTCAGAGTATTCACCCAAACAATGGCAGACACTGATGATTGGCACAGCAGCTTCTGGATGACGCGCACATTTTGAAAAGGGTCTATTGCCGAGTTGTACAGAGCAGTGCAGCACAAGTGCTAATCTAATCTGGGGCCTTAACACGCTCCATAGGTTTCAACGATAGACGGTGCAGGACACTTCAAGCAATCTAAACCAATCCAACGATTTGCAAGTATCGTGTGACGTTCGGGAAGGGCACGACGACGTGCGAGGTGCGCAGTCACGGAAATTTTTTAGCGTCAAATTGGCTGCGACTACTCGTAGTGCCCGCTGCGGTCCTTCGTAAGGTGAAACGAAGTATAGCGTGGTAGCACGAATTCGTACAGGTCATTCCTTTGCATGCTGAAAAGCCGAGGTTAACTGATTCGTCGAACAATCGTTAGCACAATCGATTAGCTGGAGGGGGATTAGTCGCTTGAGCAGACCAATGTTTGCCACAGCTGGGAAAAAGAAATAAATTAAACAGCGTCGATAAGGTCCAGAGTGCTGCTACCACACAAGAAAATGGCCAAATAAAGGCCACATTTCTATCCAGCATTAATTATCCACCCTACTTTTCTTCTACACAAATAAGAAAAGCCTAGATAAGAGTGCAACGTAATACTTACTTGGAACCCAGACTATTTCTGGTGCTGCCAACATAATAGACTTTATAAAGCTTTCTTAAAATGTTAAAACATTCCCTAACACATTGCTGTCAGTTATACATTCCCTTGCTCCTTAAACAGTGGCCTCGTTCCGCAGGCTTGGCGAGTGGGGAAAGTAGTTCCAATATTTCTTTTTAAAAGGGGAAGCAGCGTTTTTCTTTCAACCTTTTAAAACTGTGGATCACATCATAAACTACCAAACCATACACTTTGTGGAAACCGGATAGCTTTGTTGGTTCGAGATATAAAGAGGAAAATATTCAAGAAGACAACTTAAAAATTTACAGACGTTTACGCTTCTCCGTAATGCGAAATTAGAGCGCAGCTCTTGAGGCACGTGGATTTTGTGATATATTGTGGCAGAGAATTTGGGAGAAATATATACCTATATATACATATACCGTAAAATACCGCGGAGGAACCCTCGTCATTCAAGCACCCATTATGAATGCGTTCCAAACTTGGGAATTCTGCAAATTACACGTTAAGCGCCCAATTTGATCGGACAAGTGCCCATGTTTAGATTGATCCAGTTTTCAGTGAAAGTGGAGTGGGCACTCCCCCAATATTTTAAGGTATATATATATTTGATTTTTTTGTTTTTTTTGTTTGAGGGTAGGCCAAGGAGGATGAGGAGGGTATGTTGTCAGCCCCATAGTGCAACGCATGCGGTGTTCGTTTCAACGTGAAACGTTTTTGCCTAGTTGCTCTGGACTTTGTGAAGCTACTCTCGTGAAGCCGTGGCCTGCAATGTCACAAGGCGTCACAGTTTCCCCGCTAAATCTAGCGAGGAAAATGGCATCACTCAACTTTGTGTCATGTCACCTATGAACGGATTCAGTTTCTCTGCTAGATTTCGTGGAAAAACTGACATCATGTGACCTGAACACAAATTCAGTTTCTCCCTTAAATTTAGCGGGGAAAATGATGTCGCATGACTTCATGTCATGTGAATTATACACAAAGTCGGTTTCTCCGCAAAATGTAGCGGGAAAACTGACGCCACATGACCTCAACACCAATTCAATTCCCCGCTGAACTTAGCGGAGAAACTAAATTCGTGTTGAGGTCATGCGACGTCAGTTTCGCTGCTAAATTTAGCGGGGAAACTGAATGCGCAGTGCTGCATTATGGGATATCACAAACCTACACACCAATTCAGTTTCCTCGCTAAATTTAGCGGGGAATTGAACTGGTGTATAGGTCTGCGACGTCCCATAATGCATTGTGCGCAATTACGCTGATGGCGACGCCGCTATATGTGGAAACGGGCGCCCAAGAGCTACGCTCTAAAAAAATGTCGTAGTTCACACACAGTGGAACACAAACCAAGCATATATACTAGGCTGCTCAGTTCTCGTTCAAACACAGAACCGGTCCTACTAAGTTAAAAGAATTGAAAAAGGTCTGCTATGAGGTCCGACGTGGGGCTAGAGAACTGGGTGTCTTAGATCCTTCTTTGCTCCCTGAACACCTTCGGACGTCCCCAAACACGCACAGTGCCCTGAAGAAGGGCTTCACACACTCTGCCAACGCATGGCAAGCTCCATGTTCGCGTGTGTGTGCATGTGGCTGGCAAGGTTGCCCTCCCTACTGTAGGCCTTGGGACAGTGCGGGCATTTGTGAGGCTTCTTGCCCATGTGCGTCAGGACGTGACTGGTCAGAGACGCCCTCCAGGTGAAGGTCTTGGGGCACAGTTTGCACTTGTAAGGCTTCTTTCCCGAGTGCGTTCGAAGGTGATTGGCCAGACTGCTGCTCCAGGAGAAGGCCTTGGAACACTGCTCGCACCTGTAAGGTCTCTCCCCCGTGTGCATTCGGGTGTGGACGACCAGACTGGAGCTGCTGGCAAAGGCCTTGGGGCACTGCTCGCACCTGTAAGGTTTCTCACCCGTATGCGTCCGCACGTGGGTGATCAGGCTGTCTCCGTCGGCAAAGTCTTTGGGGCACCACTCACACTTGTAAGGCTTCCCTCCCGCGTGCGTACCCATGTGCCTCACGTAGAGGTACCTTTTGAGAAAAACCTTCGGGCAACTGTCACATTTAAACCGTTCGTTGCTCGTGTGCGTTTCAATGTGGAGGGACAGTCGGGACTCCGAAGCAAACAGCTTGGGACAGAGCCGGCACTTGTAGGGGTTTTCTGCGACGTGCTCTCGCATGTGAAAGAGCAGGTCGGAGCTCTTGCGGTACGTCCTCGAACACAGCTGACACCCGAAGGGAGCGCCCTCCGTGCGACCCTTCGTGTGGCTTCTTCTCAACTCCTCCAGACCGACAACAGACCTTGGATGGTGCTGGCACTTGGACGGACGATGATCGGCATGATGAACCAGGTGGCCGATCATTCCACGCTGATCTCTGGTGGTGAAGCGGCAGAAACAACAAAAGAACCTGATGGCCCTGGCAGCTTTCGGTGGGCAGACGGTTGTGCCCGAATCCGGTATGGCTCCTCCGTCATCTATAAAAGCAGAAATGAGTCATCATCGTTAGGACGCGAGTTCTAGGGGTATTTGAAAGGTTGTGCAAGCAGCGTCCAGAAAGCTTCGACCTCTGTGAAGAGCGACTTCATTCAGAGGTGAATATTTTTCACGCTTTTAGCCGACTGCTAAAATAAGCATAGGGACGAAGGCAAGGTACAACGCCGGTCAGAGCGCGAAAAGGAATATGGGGCGGGTACAGCGAGGACGGGGATTTTGGCACGCAGAGAATGTGAAACGGGATCCCCAAACGCGAGGTTATCGACACGCAAGACTAAGGACATGGGCCTTTGTGACAGGACGTCTGAACGCAGGAAAATCGTGCTATAGGATCTATTCACTGGACGCCATATTTGTGGGTGCTGATTAGAGCGCATGCTCAGAATGAGCTCACATTAATAGGCTGCTAAGACCGGCAACCTTGACGGTGTGGAGTGCACATTCCAAAATAACTGTGGAAGTTCGCCATCAGCACGTGCTCAGCAATTGCGCACACAGCTATGGCCGCCAGTGAATACACGCTACACTTGGGGACAAGAGTGCACGTGCACAGCTTTCATCGGCGCTCGAGGTGTGCGACCGCATGGGCATCACCTTCGGCATCACCGCCACAGAAAGTTGCACCCAAATACTGGCCTCGAGACCCAGATTGAATTGTGTGGAAGCGTGCTTTTGTTTATCCATAGTTCTCTATGAGGCATGTGATGATTGCATCTGTCCACAATGTGGGTAGAGGCAAAGCATCCACACCAGAGCCATATACGTACAGAGTTTGGCCATTCGTTGGGAAGTATAGGAGACAAATGAGGAGGCGGCATTGGCTGAAAGCGGGCTGGGCGTGTTTCAGGGTGTCTTCAGAAATTTGAATGTGACCAACCAGAAGCTGGAAATAATACCCGGGCGGTGGTCATGAGAAACAAACCTGATAAGTGCCATTCTGATGTTAGCCTGAGACTGAGGCAGGAAAAGAGGAAGTTTCAAAGCAGAAGAAAAAGGAACAGTCGAGGATACGTCTCTATTGGGACGTATCCTCGACTGTTCCTTTTTCTTCTACTTTGAAACTTCCTCTTTTCCTGCCTCAGTCTCAGGCTAACATCAGAATGGTTAATTTCCACCAGCTCGCCTGCGCACTCACTACAATATCACTGATAAGTGCATCGGAGTAACTCTCAGTGACTGAAAATATGATACATGTGATGCTTCAACCACGCTCATCCAAAATGATGGTGGAAGAGTGCGACTAGCGGAATGATCGACATAATCCTTGCGCCAAGCGCCGGGAATCTGGCGTCTGAGCGGTCACACTCCGTTTGAGCAAAACAGGGTTTAGCGGCGCATTCGTTTCTTGCATCTTTCAGCATGATCATGATCGAAACATCATGTGCACCTTATTTTCAACCATAAAGAGCTACTACACTTCATTCTTACGCGCTTATTAAAACCATATACGAACATAGGCCTTTGGTCAGAATTGTCTCTCGCTACCACCGATAGAGGATTCTTTTCGGCTTCTGGTTGGTCAAGAGAGCATGCCAAGCCCTCTTTCCGAGTCTGGTGCACGCCCTGGTGCACGCCCTGGCTCTGCCCGCGCCTCCCATTGACCAAACTCCCTCTATTATACACGGCTGTGATCCACACTAACGGCAGAGTACGGGCAAGGGTACAGAGCACGAGCTCTTAGCGGTTGATTCCAGTGCGCGAGCGCTGCATTGTCGCCTCCCACGGCTTCGGCCTCGCGTGCATAGTATCAGTCTTGCTCCAAGTAAGTGTAAAAAAAAAAAAAAGAAAAAAAAAAGTGTAGTTCTGTTTTTCAACACATGAGCCGTGCCGATCGAATCTCGAGGCGAATGCACCTTTCTATAAAAGCCTATGAGAGCGCGTTGATCGCTGTGTTTGTGCGTTACGCACGCGCACTTTCTGGCTGGCCGCAACCCCGAGCGATCACTGGCTGGACTGGGGTTTAGCACGTGTGGACTGTGATTTTTGTAAACAGTGGAAACGTGCATACACTCGCCTGCAAACAGTGCTTCTATGTTTGCCTCATGGGACGAAGTCAATAAACCGCCAAACCTACCCCGAGAGGGCTGGAAGCAAACGTCAAACCTCAAAAGCAATGTAGCCTCCTTTGTAACTGATATACTGCGCCGACTGTGCACTCCCAGCAAGAAATGTGATTTGTTTACATAGTACCAACTTACCGTGTCCAGCGGGCTCGAGTAGGTTCATTTCGATTGCTTCTTCGCAGCAACGTTCCGAGGTCAAGTCATGGCTAAGTTGGGCAGTAGCCCATAAAATCGTTAGTAAGGATATAATAGAAATTTACGATGCCATATGAACGAAATTTTGAAGTCAAACAACTGCAGCACCTACACGCCCCGAACTGTACCCGAACCCCGAACGCCAAAAACTGCAGACGAATGAATGGACGAAAAAAAAGGACGTGTCAGAGCGCTGGTATAGCCTTCATAATGGACGGTAGCTTGCGCCACCTTGCATATCAAATTTGACCAGAAGTGACTATTTTATTTTATTTTTATTTACGGTACCAGAGGCACTCTCAAGAGTACCCGCGGTGTTTTGAAAGGGATTTGTTCCATCTAACTGACTAACTGAATCCCTCGTTGGTCTCGCCGGTCACGTCTCAATGCTTGGTCAGCTCGGCATTGTCTAGGCCGAGAGGCTAGAGCAACACTACCTTGAAAACAAGATGGTAGTGCTGAATAAGATAGCGTCATCAGAGAAGGCCAACTCTGGTCACAGACTGAAAACGAGCGATGCGTCAGCACTCGGCTTCAAGTCAAGTTTTAGCCGAACGTTGACGCAATCGTCGTGTCCAATCTGTGCCCAGCGTTGGCCTTCTGATGACGCCATCTCATTCAGCACTAGGGCTTTGTTATCAAGGAGGTATTGCCAAGAGCCACCGAGAAGACTCATACTTCCCCTACCCTGTCCTGTCCGGCGCCAAATCAAGACGTTTTCTACCTATCTACCTCGATGTTCGGAGAACTAATGCACTAATCCACAGTTCACTTCCATGAAATAGTACTGTCGAAAACAATACGAGTATGAACGCGCCTCCGCGGCGACAAGCGGAGGCGCGTTCATGCTCATAGTGCTTCTGATAGTATACGCAAGTGTCTGTTATTCCGGAAGTTCGAACTTTCTGCAGCATTTAGGAAGAAGGGAAGAGCGTGCGCAAACAGCAAACCTGATAGGTGCTGAAGGTGCAATAAAGGCCCGTTCACACTTGCGACTTGGGACAGTCGCTGGAGCGACTAGCGACAAGCGACTGGCGACCACCAGTGTTCACACCTGATTGAGCGACCGACGAGTCGCCAGGCTCGCTGCCAACTAATCAACACCTTTTCGAGCCGGCTGAAAGGTTTTTCTGATCAAAGGTGCCGGCAGGAAATAAGAAAACGTAATGGTGCTTCGGAACAGTTATATTGTACGTACCTGCCACGCCGAAAATGTCGCCGATCTCGTTTTAGGCCTGCAGCTTTTTACCCCGATCCTTGTGGTCGGAGTGCCGCTTATTGTAAAGAAACAAATAGTCTTTGACAGCATTAATAAGAGCTTCCGCGCAGAACTTCATGCCAGTGACCGTCGCCGTGCGCGCGTCGCTATTTCCCGCGGGTAGCAGTGCCGTATGTAAACAAACGCACAGATCACTTCCGACGAGACTCTGATTGGCTCCGCCGTCCAGCGACTCGGTTTCGCGACTTGAGAAATCGGTCAGGGAGCGACTGCCCAAAATCGGTCGCTACCGACCTGTTTTGGTCGCTCCGCGACCAAAAACCAGTCGCTAGTCGCTGGTCGCTCCAGCGACTGTCGAAAGTGTGAACGGGCCTTAACGCAAACAAGCTTCACAGAAAAAAAAGAAGTAATTATATATGTAAGCAGTGAGAGAGTGCAGGCGAGCTGGTAATCAATCGACATCTTGTAAACCCTGAGATGGGGAAGAAAGATTTTGTTGTGTTCGTGCATTTTTTTTATCGTTCCCCATCATATAAATAAAAAATATACGAAGCGTTTTTTCTTTTCTCCCTACAGAAAATATCAATGAATGGAATGAATGCATGACGGAACGATCGCAGACAGATCCGAAGCCAGCTGAAAAAAACGCTTTAGAAGCTAGAACCAGCAATATTGATGAAGCCGGTGAAGCCTAGTCATAAAAAGTTTAAATGATATTGTGCCCAACGTGACCGCAGATCTCTCTGGCCATTCGTGCGCGTGGCATGTCACGTGCGAGGTGGATGGTCCATTGTAAAAGGATTCCTTGCAGGCTTGCGCCGCTCCGTCCGGTAGGTTTTATCCGGTCGAAGGCTAGACGAAGGCTATACTCCGTTTCACACTTAGCGTGCAACGCTGTCAAAGCTACTGGCGCGAGCGCGTGGCTTCATCCATGGTTTTGTTTGCGCGAGAACGCGTGCAAATGATCAACGACATCAAGCCCCATGCTCGCGCCAAAGGCTTTGACAGCGTTGCACACTAAGTATGAAACAGAGTATAGACGCTTTACACACGCGCCAGATTACAGCCGCCATTGCTGACCTTCTTTTGTCTTATGTAAATACCGAGCCACTGAAACGGGTGTTGACGAGCCTCCAGAAAGGCCAATGCTGGGTAGAAGGACGCAATAGAATTTAAGGTGGCCATAACCTGGCCTGCTATGGTAATGATGAAGTGAAGAAAATTCAATAAGAGGAAACAAAAACTGGAAGTCAGTTATGGCGGCGCCCATGCACAGCTGCTGCAAAGCGTCTATAGCTACGGTCACATGATCTGGTCATGTTGGGGTGATAAGTGCGGAGAGTAAGGAGGAGAATGAGAAAGGGGCGGGGCGTCAAGGGAGCATGGCTTGTGGAGGCTACGCGGTTGACGTCATGCCCTCTCCTACCTTTCTATCCTCCTTGTTTAGAACCTTTAGAATCTTCACAACCCAGTATTTACGTTGTAGCCACTAAATGAGAGTATGAGCACTCCGTTCCCCGATCTGCTAGTGGGCGCCGCCATATTGGTGCTTTGTGCAGAGGAGACTCAACTGTCGATCGTCAGAATTCAAAAATGCGACTTACTCAACTTTAGATGCGGTGTTAGGAAGCTCAGATGACATCGTTTTCCTCTGTTGCAAACTGCTTTATCATGTCAGGAGGACGAAAAAGCGTTTCCTGCGATGTCCGAAAGCTTCAGATAACTGGCCACAACGATTTTAAGGACCAAGGTGGCTGTAATGTCGTTACTCTAAAACGTATCTTATAAAGAAAGATCTGTGGAAGCATTAACACCTTTAAAATCCGAGACCGTGGAACAAAGAGGACACGCACAGATGTCTCAATGTTGAGAAGTGTCTGTGTCGTCCACTTTCTGTTTCTCAGTTTCTTCGGGTTCTCATGTAATGCTAATTAAAGGTCGCCACATGTCTCAAATGATATCACTTTCTAAAGTAATTCATTTGCCATAAGAAAAAAAGTGTGAAGAATTTTAAGTGGGATTCGAACCCACGACCCTTCGGTCGCTAGCACTCCCTAACACCGGAGAAAATAACTGTTCCACAAGAGTCACTCCGAGTCACAGTCGAATGACTGTTATGAAAGAATCCCTCCGCGGCTAAAACAAAAACGACGCTAACCTTTTTTTTTTCAGCACTTTTTTGACGATGCTTTGCGATCCGTTTTGTAAAGCACATTAATAAGGATACAATGCCAATGCAGTATGTCATAATTTATTTATCTATGAGTACAATTTGAAGGCAAGGTACGTCAATGAGGGTTATTTGTGCATTGTGTACGTTCACCCCTTTTCAGTATGGTTTATCCTATCCAAGTATCGGAGAACGAAATCGGTAATGGAAATGCTTACGCGGTTGAATCTCCCCCTTTCTTTCAGACCGTCGGAAAATATCACGTTGAAAATTCTCGTGTTTAACGGCATCTTTAACGTTAACATATCCCGTTCCATGAAACCTCGCTTATCTAGACCTCTGAGAAGTACCCATTCAAGTCGAAAACCTTTAGAAAGGGCAGATAACGATACTTGCAGATATTCCTTCTTTCCCAGAACAGTGGCAGAGTGGAACGCTCTTCCCCAAGAAAGAGTAACCAGCAATAGACCAGCTTTGTTAGAAACATCCCTTTCTCAACTATGTTTGCGTTTGAATTGATATGTCTTTATGCGATATATAATTTGTAATTCTATGTTTATGTTGCTTGTATCGACTTGTGACTGTGTGGTGCAGTAATAATTAACTTTAACTAGCTATCTCGACGAGTAGTTCGTTTCAAGCAGTGTCTAATATTTAATTGCGCGGATAATGTAAATTGCAGAGTTGCATTGAAATTGTGTTTGTTGCAAAAGTCGTGCTTTTTGTATATGTTTTTTTTTTTTTCACCTCTGCACCCCTGTAACATCCTCAGAAAGGGCTATCTATAAAAGAAAAAGAAAAGTATCTGGTTCAGTGTCCCTTTAGGTGATGTACAACGAGAGTATCTCAGTGTAGTTTATATATCGATTTCTTCGTTCAAGCCTTTTAGAACGTAAATGCAGCTCTTCTTTATAAAACTGAAGTTGAATGCTACTTTAGTCCCGTATTTAATTTATTCAACTGCTTTAAACGTATTTTTAAAGGGCCATTTCGTAGTCAGGTAAGCAACGATATTAGTTTTATTTTAAAGACGTACTTAGGAATATGAAAAAGTCGGCTGTCAAGCCTTGGATCTACGGTGGCTAGAAGGGGGAGGTGTCAGCATCGCGCAGCTTGCTCCGTGTGCGGTGGCGCCCTTGTAATATCATAACGATTGGTCGCGCTCATTGACTCTTAAATACCATTCCATTTAGCACTCTCTGGGCGGCACCATTTTGTGTATTTTGTTCGACAGCAGCGCCCTCTCCATACATCTGGGAAATTCAGCGGGTTCGGCGGGGTAAAACGAGAGAGAGGGCACGCGCCCGACTCCGCTAGCAGACGACAAAACGGGGAGGTTGCCATTTTCCATCTTTGGGCTGTATCGGCAGGCTGTACGGAACATCGAACTCTCGCTCGTGGCTGCCGTTGTGAAGCGGTTCGCGTTCTTAGTATAGTTATGGCTACTCCAAAATCAGCCAAGAGCTCTCTGTTGTTCTACTTCGCGGTAAATGATCAACTGACATACCTTTTTTCCGTTACTTAAATAGCAGTTGAGTCAGCCGGCAGTACTACCCTCAACTACTGCGTGTATTGCGGCAGGAGAGCACGTTTTTATTTATTATTTCAGACATCCCCTCATGGTCGCTAAAGGCCTACACCAGTACGAACTTTGTATAGTAAAAAAAGTACAGCCAACGGATTCACTTTTCACCGGAGAGACCGGCCAGCCTGACACAGTTTTCTCTATTATTTTTTTTTTTATTTGCACGCTGATAACAGCGCAATTGGACTCTGTTAGTTTTATTTATCTAGCATAGCAATACACGATAACTGGCATACCAAAATCTGCGCATCTGCGCTTGAAATTCCCAAAATGACGCGATTTTAAACGGAGTTTGTACGCCAGCCGGATGCTAGGTACTGCCCACTCGGCGGAGCAGACGACATCCGGGCGAGAGGGGAAGGGCATTTTTTTCTATTTTTACCCTCTCTGCTATGACCCTAATGGAACGGTGCCTCGTTCGTTTCGCTAGAAGTGCTCGTTTGTGGTGCTCTTCCCAGAAGGATAGCCCATGCGCCCAGACTACCGCGATGGCTAAATGGCAAACACACTGCATTGCCAGCGGACGCACCACGGGGTACGTTTCTGCGAGAAAGAAAGTGACGACGTTGACAAAAGCATTGGCAAGTTTATTTTTGAGTTACGTTAGCCGGATGTCCAAAAATCACCAAAAGTTTAACTTTGAAAAGCATTTTTTAGGAGCGCTTATCGCACGCGATAGGACGCGAGCGGACGACGCATCTGGGTGTCGACAGCAGCGTCACCACAGCTGCATCCTGACCGGCTGCTCCTTCTCTCGCTCGCCGATTCTGACACCTTTCCCACTAGCCACCGTAGTGGTTTTAGTGGATCGCTCGCGAACAGAAGACGAAGAGGAAGAAAACGACAGAACCATCCAAACGCTGAGAGGAAGGCCGCTCAGAGTGGCCCCGCAGCAGACAGAACGGAGTCATCATCCCTTCCTTTCAGGCACGGGAGAGGCAAGGCCGGGAGGGAGCGCAAGGACTTCGAATTCAAAGACACCGGCTCCCGCGACACACCCCCACGCCGAAAGTCAAGCAGATCAAAGGCCAAGATCAGCGCCCAAGATGAAGAGTCCGAGTACATATACACGCTGGAAGACACCGACGACGAAAAGACCCAAGGTTCCAGCGGGTCCCAGAGTTCGAGCACCGAGCGCGATTACCAGATCTGCATGCTGGTGGCAGCAGCGGTGGTCGGGAGCGCGTTCTTGGGCATCGTGATGAAGTTCGCTTTCACGCCGAACCACATTGGACACCGTCATAGCGTGCGGAGAGTTGACCGTAGGGTCTTCGTCGAGCCGTTTCCAGAAGCTCCGCCTCCAGCCGAACCGGACCTAACGACGCTGCCGACCAACCGATCTGATAACGCGACACATGTCCCTGCTAGAAGAAGCATGTTCACCTACGAGTGCCGCACGGACGCGTGCTTGTGGCAGAGCCGATTAATCTACGACAAGATCAACCAGTCCATCGCACCCTGCGAAGACTTCCACGCATACGTCTGCTCCAACCGTTGGTACGTAAGGGATCTCGACGTCCAGGGAAGGCCGTACGCTGTCAGCGGACCGGGACTTTTGATACTGGACGTCGCCAACTATCTCCTCCGCCAGAAGGACAAGGAGGGTCAACCTGCGTTTATCGGGCAATCGGCGGCGTTCCTTCGCGGCTGTATTAACCACGCAAACGCCAGCAAGGGCATGCCAAGTTGGAACCGGGTTACAGAGCTTTTTGATACGTTATCGCTCACCGGATGGCCCTTCCTGACAGACCCCGTGGCGATAAAATTCCAGAAAGTACTCATGGAAGTGGACAAGACTCTGGCCCTCTTTCCGATCGTGGACGTGAGTCTGCGCAAGCGGTTCGAGAACGAGGGTTACATGCTACACCTGGACGCTCCCAAGTTGGTCCTCGTGCGTCACCAAATGACGTTCCTCGAAGAAGGCATGCAAGATTACAAGAAGTGCATCAAGCGCGCTCTTTCCCTTCTCGGCAGCAAGGCGGACATGGACCACATGGCGGACGACATACTCGAACTCGAGCGCAGACTGGACGAAGCCTCGCTCCCGCCCCGAAAATTTGTCACCATCCTTAACTCAACCGTGCCCATCGCCAACATCAAGCGTACCGCAAAGTTTGAGTGGGAGACGTACCTTCCCCATCTACAGTCCGGTTCTGACAAAGTGATCGTTAGGAACGCGGCCTTCGTTGAAAAACTTCCGGGCGTCTTGACGTCCACGGCTCTATCGACTTTGTTGAACTATATCGGCTTTCGAATTATGGTGTTTCTTTCCCCGCTTCTGCCCAAAGAGGCTGGATTCCTGATTCCGCTGAGTTACGATGACCACATCCCCATGTACAATCCGAGACTGCAAGCTTGTGTTCACCTTCTGGAACGGCTCTACCCATACGGCACGCGTAAGATTGCTCGCCTCTCGATGGGCAAGACAGCGATGGAGCAAGTACTTTACGACCACAACCTGGACAGTCTGGTGCGTATCGTCAAGGACGCCATGATGCAGACTGTAGCCCACGCACCCTGGCTCACACAAGCCGAGGCGGACATTGCGAGGCAGAAGATCCAGATCCTCGAGGTAGACTTCATCGGAGCCAAAGAAAACTTAGACACCGTAGCCAGGTATGTGCTGTTTCGCTGCGGTGTCACATGACTGCCCTGCTGCAAGCCCTCGAAGTTATTTCGTTAGTGGCATTGCCGAAGATTCACGACTCGTATGAGCAAGCACGTTCAATCGCAAGCCATGCAGCCAAAGCTGCCTTCACGCGTGAGCTACACATGCTTGGCATGCGAGTAGATGCCGTCTTCTCCCCTTGCACACGATATCTTCCCGCGTGTAAAAACATCTTGACGTCATCACAGGGAGATCGAGCGCAGACACAGGTTGGACGCGAGTGCTCTGGGCCATTTCCATTCAAATCAATGCATGTGATAGCTTCAGGAGGAGGATGAGGCTGTTCACGGATTTTGATTACTCTATGTGGTGTTCTACTTCACCACCCCACACTGCCCGCGTGATATCCTGCGTGTCAGCGCGCATCTGATCAATATGACGCACGTGTTGTCATGCGCGCGGTGGGAGGTGAGCAGGTATCGCGCGGCAGCAGTGCGTCAACAAATTGAAACACCGCCATTGTCGCACCGTTGCTTCGCTCGCTGTCCGCGAGACTACCGATGGTCTGTACTACTGCCTGGTCGCCGCTCGTGCATTGAAGCTTATCGCCGGTCACTGCACCTGCAATGGACAGACTAACACTCTAGTGTGCACCTCAATCAATAGACCGATCTCACCAAGCCTCCGGCGCATGCGTGAGGCCGCCATAACTTTAGTTCACAGTAGGCAGGCGGCAGTGCCCGAGACGGCTCATGCTCTGAACGCGCAGAGCTCCAGCGGGGTTGTCGCACGTTCAGAAACACTAAAGTTCCCTCGATGCATTGCGGCAGTGGTGGCGTAGCCAAACTGGCTGGTGAGATCGGCCCAAAAAACAAACATAAATCAGACAAACAAAAAAAAAAAAATCTGGCTTACAATATACTTGGACTTTCCGAGTTAACCATAGATTCTAAAAACATGCCACATCTGGTTCTCCAAATCCAAGGTTACACTGCTTATACATCATACAAAATACAGTCTGCAAACAGATTCGAACGCAAGTTACCACGAGATCCGTGCTTTGAGTGCCGCATAGCAACGAGTTCAAGGAGAAGCTTGACACGCGGCATTCGAACCAGGGATATCGCTGTGACTGATGCCTAACAGAATCTTTTGTGTGATGCATAAGCAGTGTGACCCCGGCTTAAGAGGTTACCTAAGAGCAGAAACATACAAAAAAGAAATACTTCATTACGTTATCAGTATCTGATAAAGCTACAGCCTAAATATAAGAGATATATAAACATAGGCATACCGAAGCACGTTGTCTCAAAAAAACGAACGTCCAGGCGGTTTTCAGAGCCTGATATCCGTCCAGGTACTACGTTATCAAGACCAAGGCAAACTTCACGACCAACTCCACTCTACACGACTACCTCACGCTCCTCAACGAAAGCACGTCTCGGTACTGGGCCTCCAAAGACAACGCGGACTACGACGCCCGCTATCACGTGTCCTGCCTGAAGCCGGGCTTCGAGTACAACGCCGGCAGGAACTCGTTGTACATGCCGTACGGCGTCGTGGCCTTCCAGCACCGCGTGTCCCAGACCACGGTGCCCGCCATCCTGATGCCTTTCATCGTGCCCCACCTGGTACAGGGCATGTACGAGGCCGTCGACGTGAGAGGCTCGTCCATCAGCGTGCGCGGCATGCCGGAGAGCTGGTGGAGCGAGGAGTCCCTGGCGCGGTACCGCAAGCAGCAGCGTTGCTTCGTCGAGAGTTACCTGGAGCATATGCAGCGCTTTGGAGCCTTCAAGGTGAGAATAGGTTATAATAACTTATGCTAGGGGTGGCCATGGACTCGCACATGCGGCTTTTCCTAGGTCAAAGTTCGGCTCGCATGTTTTAAGTTCAGACGCAGCCAAAGTCACGAGCCGATCGGATCAATCAGACATGCAGCGTCAAAAGCGAATCCATCTTCGTCATGTTTCTGTAAGTGTTCTATCATCGTTAAGCCAGTCATAAACGGACTTGCGCTTTTGACACTGCTTGATTGGTCCCATTACCTACATGAAATTTCTCTATGAGCCGACGTCCACCTAAGCCTAATATCATTAAAAAAAAAAAAAGACGTGGGCGCTTATATTATCTGTTTCAGTGGAACAAAATTGTCGGCAAGAAAACAGTATTCTCTTTTTTTTTTCTGATAAGTGTTTTTCACTTATTTAAATCCCACGAGCGTTCACAATATCATGTATTGTTTTGGCGATATTAGGCTTAGGTGGACGTCAGCTCATAGAGTTTTTTTTTTTTTTTCAGTTATCTTTTTAAGTCAGGCAACGTCATCTCAAACTTTCGCGTTCTATCCCAACCGCCTCACATTTTCAAGAGGTTTAAGCTTTTTGCGATATATAGTTTATTTATCCGGGCCGAAAAACACGGTTCTCTTTTCTCGGGAACACCCTGTATGTAAACGGACCTTGAAGGAACCGTGACATAATGGGGAATCGTTTTATGAGCGTCATTTGCTGTAGCCACCAACAAAATCTTCAAAAAAAAAAAACAAAAAAAAACTACGACGCCTCTATTTCTTGCGGCTTTTTTCTTAAATTGTTTGTTTTGAATTTGTTTTGTTTTTTGCTCGTCCTATATAATTGACTGGTCTCCCCTGCTATACATTGCTATAGGAGTACGTACTAATTGTCAGGCGGCGCTGCAAGCGACCAATCATTGTAGCCTACTTGACAAAAATAACAAAACAGAACTGCCTCAAAATCACGATGGTATATCGATGCTTTTTCAATAAATAAGAACCGCAGCTATAGCCAAATTTTGAGTAGCAGCTGGCGGCTACAGTCTTTTCTAGGGCCGGTCAATCGTCTAGCTGCAAAATGAACGATCGACACTATATTGATGTCTCTTTCTGATTGATGACAACCGCTTCAGAAACTACCGGGAGTTTTCAAAAAGCAGTTTTCAACTTATATTTTGTACCTATATTACGGTTATGCTATGGAAAAAAATGCTAGTGCATAAAACTCTACGCGTAACTTCGTTGCGGGGCAGGACACTTTATACAGTCCTTTGTGGTGCCGTTTTAGTTTCTCTCAGTACGTGTATCTTATAGGCACCAATTGCTTTGTTCCGAGAAAGGAAGTAAGAGTGACGTTTCGTGAGTGGGATCAGCTTGTCAACGACTCGCTTTAGCAGGTCGTTTTCGAAAACTTACATGGGTTGTCACTTCTATAGCCGCCTTCGTAGTGACAACGTGAGCTCCCAGAGCCATTATCGTTCTATAGAAAAAGAATGGAAGAAGTTTACAAATCTCTGTAACGCGAAATTAGTGCGCAGCTGTTGAGGAGGCGGAGGGGAGGGTACTCCTCTCCCTTCCTCCTGCACCGTACCTTCCCCTCCTCCTGCTCCGTACCCTCCACTCCCCCTCCTGCGTACCCTCTCGTCCTTCGCACACTATCATCCTCCTCCGTGCCCTCCCCTTTTCCTCCACTGCTCGCACAGTTTCCCCGCTAAATTTAGCTGAAAAATTTACGCCGCGTGACCTCAACAGCAATTCAATTTCCCGCTAAATTTAGAGGGGAATTGAATTGGTGTTGAAGTCACGTGACGTCAATTTTCCCGCTAAATTTAGCGGGGTTACGCCGACGCCGACGCCGCGAAACACGGAAACGGGTGCCGAAGAGCTGGGCTCTACAAGCGCAACCGGACCTAATTCTTGGCGGATGTTCGTCCCAGGAATCCCCGATGGTGCCCTTCATCCGCCAAATGATGGCCGAAAACGCGGCACTGCAGCCGTCCCTGGAGGCTTACAGTCGAGCCCTGGTCGAGCCACACTCGATGCAGCGAAACTTCAGAGTTCCCGGCCTGCCAGAAATGACACCCGACATGCTCTTCTTTGTCAACTTTGCTGCGAGTCACTGCGACGCGGTGCAGGGCAACAGCGGTCTCGGCGTTCTTGCGCGGAGGCAAGTGCAGTACAGGGTTGCCTTGCCTTCGGTCCTCCGCGTTAATGTGCCACTCAGAAACTTCGACCGCTTCGCTGAAGTCTTCTACTGCCCCAAGGGAACTTACATGAATCCAGGAGCCAAGTGTAGACTGTGGTAGCCAGTAGTCATACTATACCTCTTCGAAAAAGGGCCGCATCATGACGTCTTTCCTGCCAATCGAAACTTGAGATTAAAGCATTAAAGCCGCTAATCTTCCAGCCATCCACCAGACTGAACTTTTTCTTAATCACGAGGCTTCTTGCAGAGTTGAGCTTTGTGGGAACTTCTGCCGCACAAGCTGTAAAAAGTGTGAGCCGCTGGTGTTGCACCATGGCTTCTATACTCGTTGTCACATCAAAAAAAGAAAGAAAGGAAAGTTGTGCGCATTATTTATGCACTACACGAAGTAGTTCTTAGAAGATTTGGTTGTCTGAGGAAGAAACTATGCTTTTGGCGTTTGAAACGTGTACGCTTTGATAAAATAAGGGCAAGCTAATCTAAAAATCACCTACACATATCTTAATTGACAGCATAAAGGGGCCAATCAGTAATGCTCTGCGACAAGCCGGACTTTTTTTTTTTAGCTTTGCTTTTTGAGTTGAATACCTGTATAGTATAGACACGCCTTTAAAATTGGCATCAACCTGTCTACAGCGCACGTCGGTACTGAAGTGTAAGCCAAGCCCCAAGAAGTTTCCTACCTGTTCTTGTCGAGAATAACGAATTCGGTGATACGGATGCAGGGTGCAGAAGGTATGCGCTCAGCAGAAAAGCCACAACCATGGCCGCTCGATCACCGCCTCTCCCGCTAGCGGGAGATGGGGTCGAGGGGCCGTGCCACCAGAATGGCCGTTGATGGGACGTCAATGAACGCTACAGGCCATGCATACTCCGTTCCATCTTACGGTGGACCGCATAGGCTTTAGAGGCCTCAAGCCATCGAAGCCAATACAACGCCGTGACTGGCACGTGACCTTCGGAAGGGGTGCATGGTCACGTGATGCGTATACAGCACTGGGTTGGCTGGGACGGCTGGTGGAGTTTGCTGCGGTCCATCGCGAGGAGCTTGCACACCACCGTATTAGCAATACTATAAGTTGTACTGAGTAGGGGTTACTCAGGGCGCACAGGGTCACAAAAGGCAATTCTGCCCATACTGGAATGGCCTGTGTACCTAACCTGGGGCCCATAAGTGTATACATATGCATCCGCGAAAGGAAGGAACAAAACGGGGGAGGGATGTTGGGTGGCAAAAGTCAGGCTGCACCCCGTCTCTCCCTGTGATGGAACGCGACCAAGACACCGGGCAGCCCGGTCTAATTCATAAACCCGCCAGAGACAGTGCTGCGTCTGGCCCCAATTGCGTACTGTCGAGGCAACCCGCTACACCATCCCTAGCTGGCCCACCACCGAACACAACATCCGATAGCTCCAGAGTCCAGCCGCAGTCCGTCAGGGGCGACAAGGCGCATAGTTAACGACAAAGACCGCACGCGCCGCGCAGCAATCATGATCAGTCAGTCCTAGTTCATGATAGTCAGAGGGGAATATAATTGTAAGTTCTGAGGGCATCTCTTCTGTCGCCATAAACTGACAGCTCGCGGCAGCTAGGAAGAGCCCTGCCTCGGTGTTTGGGTGAGGGGCTGAAGGCAGCCAGTGAGGGCTAAGCGTAGAGCGTCCACTAGAATCTGTTACCCAGGTGCTTGGAGCTGGCATAGCAGGCGGATCCTGGCGGTGTGCATCCTCGATATGAGGCACTGCCATGAAGCACACCGCATCAGGCTGTCGGCCGTGATTTGTGTGTACGAGAGGAGCACGGTAGGGTATTTTACAGGGATCACACGTACGTCTTCCCGTGGCGGTGCAGTACCGAGCTTGCACTCTTGTCACCGGCGCCAGGAATTTGAAATGGCAGACCTGGAATCGCTGTTCATCGAAATCACTATCAGGCAGTGGAGATACCTAGGGGTCTGCGACTATACTGCCTACCTGCCCGGCGAAGTGACTTTTACAGCCTCCTCCTTTCTTCGTTTGAACTTGTTTCCATGCAAAGCACATTCCACAATGTTTACGTCCTCAGAGATTTCGACGCGCAGATCGACTGGAACGACCCTCACTCCGATCTTGCAGGACCCTGCGTCGGACTTTTTCCTTGAATTTGTGGAATCAATCTGCTTCACTCAGCTGTGCACTGAGCCCTTTTAGACTTCCCCAGCTGGTGTTGCATCTTACCTTGACTTCTGCTTTGCACTGGACCCCACACTCGGTCAAGTGTGCGCCGTTACAGCCGGCCTGAGTTATCCGACCACCGCGCCATACACCTTACTACTTTCACAAACCTCCCGAGTCGTGTCCCCCACCCCAGGCTTGCTAATTTCTACAGCAAATTTGACTCTGGTCATCTGCATCGACTTTTTTCCCTCACGTATTAAAATATTGTACTGTCTGAACCTGATGTGAATAACATGTACGGCCTCTTCACGTCTCTGCTGTGCTCCCTAGCGTCCGACATCGTCCCTGTTAAACGCTACTGTCGCAAAAAGCACGCTCTATAGATCTCTCGGGATACTTTTCTCCTGTACAAGCGAAAGGACAAGCTGTTTCGCTCTGCCAAGAAAAGCCGTTCTCATGAGATCCTGGCTGCCAAGCTACCAACAGGAAGTCAAGACGCAAATCCGTATCACCCACAGATGCTTTGTTGAAGACATTGCCATAAGAGTGACTAAGGAGCCGAAGCTTTTCTAGGCATACATACATTTTCAGCGAAAGCAATCCAGGTGCCATTCTTTTCTCCTCAGAGGTGACTCGATCGGTCTCTGCTACATCTCTTCTCGCTGAAGCGTTCGGACACCACTTCTCGTGCGTGTGGGCAGCTGGTCCAGCCCCACACTGCGGCATGCCCAGGCCCGCAGAGGACGTTATTCCGTCTATCGCACCCACCTCTCCGAGACTGCCCACTCTGCGCATAACTGTTGATGGCGTGTTAGAAGCTGTTTTCTACAGCAATCTGTTTTAAGGTCCTGGTCGTGAAGGTACTTATTCACCCTTTGATCTTCAAATCCACAGCTCCCTTTTTAGCTAATTTCCTCTGCTTTATGTTCCCAAAAATTCGGACCTGAGTGTGACTCCTGACGCATAGAATATTGCATATATCACACCTGTTCACAAAGGTTATGGTGCCCGTGTGGAACTGGTGTCGTCCTACCGGCCAATCGCCTCCACCTCCATTACCTGTCGCACCAAGATTCACGCCCACCTTGAGGAGCACAGGCTGTTGTGCCCTTGCCGAGCCGCGGTTTTCGCCGAAACCGCAGTCCTGAGACTGCTCCGGGAGTACTTGTATACACAGTCAACGCCCACCCTGACCAACGTACTCCTATAGCGAGCTCGCGCAGCTCTTTCCTGCCTTTAACCGACTGCCACACCACGGCCGGACTGGAAGCGCGCGCTCTCTTTCGCTTCCAGTCCGGCCGTAGCCCTATTTAGCAGTGTTGAGATCAAGGGTATCGCTGGTGCTAAACTGCCATGGCTCGGGTTCTTCATCGGCAACAGGACCCAACGACCATGGTGCATCATCTGCAGGCACAGCTGTCCTAGCTGGGGTAGCCCAGGGAAGTGTACTCGGCCCGACGCTTCTCACGATCTACATTGACAGCATGACGAACCTCAGCTGCTTCCCTCTGTTGTATGCTGACGACTTGACCCTGTTTCAGCCCATTTACAGTCCCGCAGACTATGTCTCCCTCCACGCCGACCTCGACATCTGTCATCGCTGGACTGAGGAACACAATAACGTGCCTGTCGATGCCGACACGTCCTTTGCAATGACATTTACTGAGCTCTGTTGTCCCCGCCAAGCACCCGCACTCAGTCTTGGGGATCGGGAAATCCGGCGTGTGACCTCAACGACTGTGCTTGATGTTGAGCTCGATGCGCGACTGTCGCTCACAGGACACGTCCACCGAACTGTCATCAAGTCGCGCCGCATGCTTTGTTTTGTAATCCGCACAACCTCTGGACATGCATGCCCCAATGTGTTTCTAGACAGCCCGAGTATTACCCATGCTGGATCACTGTTTTGCCATCTGGCTCCCCCATACTACCGTTCTCCGAGCCAGACTCGCCAGTGTACAGCGTCGGAATGCATAAACGTTTTACAGTCGCTGTATACACAAGACACGTGCCCAAAGGGGATGAGCGGGCTGTCGTGATTTGGTTCGTTTAGCCAGGTCTCACAAAGGGAGAAGAAGGTGTTTGGCATACATGCCATCACAGCCTGAATCTCGGATATCTTGTTCAGGATAGATCGTGCATTCGAGAACCACATTAAGGGATGTTTATCTGCCGGGCACTGAGCGAAACCAGGGGTGGAAGGCTGACCCGTGAGGCTGCAGAAAGCACGTCATCTCCAACAAAATCGAGTTGTCGAATTGAGGAAGTTGGCGCGGCGCGCAGAGGCAAGGCGAGGACGACACGAGCAGGTGGCGATACATGCCGAGGGCGACTCTTTGGCACGATCGGTGCTGCCCGCGGTCGCACCCATCGCACTGGAGCGCAGCCACATGAACTTACACAACACGCTCACAGCGGGGACATGCAGGTCATGTGGGCGGTCCAGGGTTCAGGCTGACATCACCAGAGACTACAAGCAGAAGCAGCCAGGAGGCAGGTCGGGACCGGCGAGCGCCATATTGTCCGTAAGGCTTAGCTTAGCGACGATACGGGTAGACGGATGTCAGGTGGACCGTACACGACTTATGTGCTCAGCAGGAGTAGCAGCAGGTCCAAGGTGAGAACCAGAGCCGCAGCTGCGGCTCTGGTTCTTGTGCTTACATGCTTACCACACGTGCTTATCACAACGACTAGTCGTTGTGGTAAGCATGCGATTGAAAAATAATAAAGAAAGGAGGACACAAGACGGACGGCTGAACCATGCCCTCTTCCCCCTCTTCCGAAGGACTTCTCATCTTAACTAAGCCAGTAAATTCATATCGTCATAAATGCCTTTTTTCAAGGGATATGCATTATTATATGACGATACGCTCTGTCAAGAAGCCAAGTTCAAATTTCAAGCTGCACTCCTCAGAATTTGAATTCAAACGAGACCGCCATAAGATA